ATGGGAGCAGAAACAAACAAGGAAGAGGTGGTTTGGAGTGTCTCTACTACCCGCCAAAAAAAAAAATATAAAATAAAATAAGAAGAAAAAAGAACACTAATATGAGCACAAACAAAGAGGAACAAAGGGCTGCTACTTCTGCAATCGAAGTCAAGAAAGCTCAGCTACACAACCAAATTCAGAATCTTCCAAAATGTCCACATCCATAACCTTCTTATTTTTAATTTTAATTATTACCCCTCATATTAGAAATAATGATAAGGGGTTAATTAATTTATCACAGCATATTACTCAAAAAAATTAACGCTGCACAATGTAATGATATGAGTGTGATGGTTTGGAACCCAATATTTGCTATTTAATTGTTAGAGTTTATAAACAATAATTAATCATAATATGCAATTTTATGTTTTAATATTTTTTTCGGATAAACCAGATATATTTTTCACGGGAGACAAATCTTGTTTGAGCTAATAATATTCAGATCATGGTAAGACTAACTCTCCAAATTTTTTTGCGTTTTAATGTTTGACTAATGCTGGTGGCCTTTTCTTGTTCAAAAGTGGATCATCTGATTCTCCTATTTTTGTTATTTTAGTCGAGGATGTTATCTATGTATATTAATAACAAGTATTTGTTAGATTATATATAATAAGTATTTGTTAGATTATATATATATGAGTTCGTTTTTTCTGCAGATAAATTATCTGCAATAAGCCAATACGACGTCGTTTTGGGACGGAAATCATGATGTTTTTATAATTTTAATTTATTTCAGGGTTATAATAGTCTTTATATTTATAATTTTTTAAGATTTCAATACCAAAACGACGTCGTTTTGAGAATAAATGCAGATAACTTATCTGCATTAACTGCAGAAACATTTTTTCCTATATATATATATTGGATAAAACACAAATATCCTCTACGGGAGGTAATCTTGTTCGAGGTGGGTCCAAGATTAAGCTTTAAATTCCTCACAATTTTCTTTTGAGAATGATATGTGTTCTTATTTAAAACAGGTGGATTAAGAGATTAAATCAAGGGGTTTACTATTCTTATGCAACAGAAGGCAACTTGTCTTATGTTGCCGAGACAAACAATGTGGGGCCCTTTTTTTATGAAAAAAGAAGAAAAGAACCTAAAGGGCCCACCATTTTGTTAGTACATGAGAGAGACTTATCTTATGTAACTGGATATATAAAATGTTTTCACTTAAATCAATCTTAGAAGACTGTAATTTATAAGAATGGATTAGGAGAGAGTTCTTTCATTTAGTCATAATTTTTTTTTCAAAATGTTATTATTATTTGATTAAACTTAAATGTGAACACGGATACAATTGTAAAGGAAAATATTAATCAACCTGATCGAGATTGTTATTTATTCTTATATAAATAAATAGTTTTTCCACTAATTTGACTCACCCAACAACCACCATAATGAACATCACAAAATTTTAATTGAGTTCTGTCAAATATTTTTATGTGTATGGCGTTAGTCAATCATGAATACTTTCTATTTTATAGCAGTAATTACTAGCAAATACTCCTTAACTTTCTACGTTGTAACTATATTTTCTTATTTTTAAAAAAATTATAGTTATATTAGACTCGTGATTATTATCTATCTTTTTTTTTTTAATTATATCTTAAAAAAGCGATATGCATAATGCCCATCAAAATTATAGTATAAATAAGTTATATATATATATATATATATATATATATATATATATATATATATATATCCTTTTAAAGGATATAAGTTTATATCCTTTTAGATCCTAACCATTGATTTCCGTCCATCAACGGTTATAATCTATTGGGCCAAACTTAATGGGCCAAATTTATTATTAATTAATTAATAATTTTAATCTAATAAATTATAACCGTTGATAGACGAAAATCAACGGTTAGGATTTAAAAGGATATAAGTTTGTATGCTTTAAAAGGATAGATGTTATTCCCACACACACACACACACACATATATATATATATATATATATATATATATATATATATATATATATATTAATGTTGAACTAGTCGAGTGTTGTATCAATTTTTTTAAACTTCACTTTATGTTCTATTTTGTTATTCTACATTTATAATGGAGTTTATGTTGAAAAAACCTTTAAGTAGAAATTGTTTTATCTGAGGATCCGTTATTAACGAAGTATCCTTTATTATTATTATTATTTGAAAACGAGTATCCATTATTATTAAAGAAATGGAATGTAATTTTTTCGAGTCAGGTATATCTAATTACTAAAATCTTTGAAAATTTGCATTAGTTGATAATTTTTTATGTTTATAATCAGAGCTAAAAAAGAAATCTTCACAGATAATTAAATTAGGTTTATTTTTGAGTATTTTTATGATTATTTCCATTTTTGTTGTTGTTAAAAGTTTATAGGATGAAAATTATCCAATTTCGTGATAAGAATATATCACAAGCTTGAAGAGGACTAAAAGTGAGTGTTATGGCACATTTATTAATGACGAGACTACTTTAATTATAGAGCAAATATAAAGTGTTGAGCAAAATAAAATTTTTAATTTCTCATTTGTTAAAGAACCAATTCAACCCAAAAACTTAAGTTGTTGGGTGAAACTATATATATATATATATATATATATATATATATATATATATATATATATATATATATATATATCTAGCATACCCGCTCACACGAGAGTTCATTGAGCTTGAAGGGTGAGTAATGCACTATAACACTCCCTCTTACACAAGAATTTATTGGGCTTGAAAATTGGATAATGCATAAGCTCACATATCTGTGCTTAGAAACTCCACAATACTTAATTGATTATTAATTAAATAGGGGCCGTAAGGATCGAATCCTGTGACATCGAAACTCTAATACCATTAATATCATGTGAATAATCAATTCAATCCAAAAACTTAAGCTGTTATGTAAGACTATATATATTAATAATGGTTTTATATTCCTTTAACAAATATGCAAAGTAAGATAAGTAATATATAGAATGATTCTAAATTCTTGGCTAGCTTATGCCCTCTTTTACTAAAAAAAAAAAAGAATAATTCTAAATTCTTTTGACTAAATTATCAGTTTAGTAGATAAAACTGTAAGGTGTACAAAAAGAATACATTGATTCAATCTTTACAATATATACTCTACTAGTTTTTTTTTTTTTCACCCCATTTTTCCTCTCCCTCTTTTCATATATAAACCCTCCTAATAGTTTTCACCTGGGCAGCTCAGTAGTGGTGGGCAAATTTCATGATGAATACATATCACAAGCCTCGAGAGGGAGCGCTGTTTGTGTGCTAGTGTCCAAAGAAATTTAGTGGGAATGAGGAGAAAGAAAGAGAGAAAATCTTGAGGAGAGATGAGAGATAAATTTTTTATGTAGTCCAGGTGTCACTCCCCTAATGGAAGGACCACCAGAGTATCATATATAGCACAATTATTAATGATAGACTATACTTTCACTTTATAAAGCAAAATAAAATGAGTGAAATAAACATTTTAATATCTAACTTGTAAAATGTGGAAATTAAGATAATTAACATAAAAGTTCACACACCTCTCAATTCATTTCAAAAGTGATAAGTTCATGTATATGGTGGAGAGTGATTTAGGGAGAAAGGCAAAAAGCATGTTTTTCTATGTCAAAACAAATGTCACCTAACTCTAATTTTATTGGGGCTACAACTTTGTAATCAATCACAAACTCTTGTGTTTATCATGTTTTTTTTAGTAGGAGGGAACAGTCATATTTGAATGGAAGAAGATTTGTACATGGAATAGCACACAAAGTCAAACAAAGTCGCTTCATTTCATAGAAAACTTCCAAAGCATTAGATCACGTTTGAGGAAGACATCAAACTCAACTACCAGTGAAAGCCTAATTGGATGGAGGAATTTACACGAAATATATTGAAACAGAAGATATATAATGGAGAAAGTTTCAGCACACCTAAATGGCTTAAACTAAGAATATTTTCGTAGAAAAAATGTTTCTTTGGGACAATCCCACCAAACACTCCCACGTGCAACGTTCATCTTCTCCAATTCTCATTCACCATTCTAACAATATCTTATTTATGGGATTTTTTTATTCTCATATTATATTCAAGTTAGTCAAGTTGCTTCGTGACATTTGTGGATTTTGAAAAAGATACTGTTTCCCATCAATACGTGTCGTTCAGTTTGCTTTTTTTAACTAAAGGTAATAGAAACTAAAATTTGTTGGGACTATACAATCACACGGGGTTATAAAATATAAAAGAGAGAAGAGGAGGAAAATTATACACACAGAGTTATTCAAGTTCACTCAATACGAGTTACATCCAATAATATTTCATATATTCTTCTCAGTGCACATATTACAAAGCATTCTGTTTATAAAAAAATATAAATAAATTTAAATACCCTAAACAATAATAATTATTCATGATCCAAACTTAAACTATTAAAAAATAAATAATAAAATAAACCCGACCTCCGTGATTTGCCCATAAGAGCATAATTCCCATTGAATATGAAATATGAGCAATACCTTATAAATGAATTATATACTCGTAAAAGAAGGTAAATAATTTGATGGATTTGACTATCAGTAAAATTCATTATTACTCTCTCAATAGGTAGTATCCAATTAAAAGAAAGGAGAGTGAAGAAATATTTAGTGCATGCCATGAACTTCTGAGTCTCTGACTCTATATAAAAAGAGAGGAGGGCTTAGTGCATACGTTTCAACTATTTATTCATTGAGAGAAAGAAAAAAAGAAAATTAAGCTCTCTTGCATTTCTCATGAACTGTGGAGTCGTGTTGGGTTTCTATTGTTGGGGTTGGGAGTTTTTAACTGCTCTACTTCTCTTCTCCTCTCATCAATAATAACCTTCCTTTTATCATTGATCTCTTCCTCCTCATCTTCTTCTTCTTCATCATCTTTTTTCTTTTCTTTCTTCTTCTTCACAATCCAAAGCATACCAATAGAGAAAACACCAACAACATAAAAAAGAAAAAAGGGAAAATTGCAAAAATGGTTGGAGTAGGTGATAAGGGGTTGTTGGAATGTGTAAGGAAGTGCACTCCACCACCGTTCTTATTGAAGACCTACATGCTCGTGGAGGATCCGGCCACCGACGACATCGTATCGTGGAATGATGATGGGACGGCGTTTGTGGTGTGGCAGCCGGCGGAGTTTGCCCGTGATCTCCTCCCAACACTCTTCAAGCATAGCAACTTCTCTAGCTTTGTTCGGCAGCTCAATACCTATGTACGTACATGTACACATTAATACACAGTATACCAATCGTATATTTAGATGATTTACTTCTTAGTATTTTTTTTTTAAATTAAAATTTTCAAATAACAAAAGGAGGACAAAATGAAATGGCATCTTTGGCCAGTATGTTTTGTTAATTTTTTTTGTTTTGAGTTATGGAATAGGTAATATATATATTCTTTTTAGTAAATATAGGTTAACTATATTTTTTTGACCTAGTTTAGGCTTTAATTTAGTATTCATTTAAGAAAAGAACGTATGAAACCAGAAGATAGAAAATATTTTATTTGTATCGTTGAGTACTTGAATTTCCTCGATGGTTATTTGGTTTCAATTATTGTGCTGTTTCTGTGCAAAATTTCCTAGAAGTACTCTTTCTCTAAAAAAAAATTATCATACTACTTTCTGAGATTATATTTACTTATTGACTGATTAAATAATAAAAATCATAAGTTGAATAATAAAAATTTATTACTATTATTGAATTTTTAATTTTATTATTTATTCTATGATATTTAATATAAAACTTATAATTTTAAAAAATATAATAAAATATTCTAAATTTCTGAAATAATATCCAATTTGACCCGTAGAAAAATACCACTATGAATGTCTTTTTTTCCCTTGTTCATGGTATGATATGATGGGTCTGGTAAGAACTTTCTTTGTGATAACAGAGGAAATGGGTCTGGTCAGAACTGGTCTTAGAACCGTATATCCTAAATTCCAAGTAGACCCATAGAATAATACCATTATTTATTTATTTTTCCATGTTCATATTGTATGCATATAATTGATATAATAAGTCTGGTCAGAACAGGAACCGGTCCAGGTAATGAAATTCATACCTAATGATCGAACTAACAAGTCAACCACGTACAAGGTACAAAAATCAATCTTAGTGGGCGTGCATGACTAATTAAATTTTTTTTTTAAATCAAATTTAACAACAACGAAATGCTTATAATATCGACCTATATTTTTAAATAGAAACGTAAAATGTTTTGCACTGCTATTTTTTAGCCTTCATGATATGTATATTTACGTGGCATATTTAATTTTATTATTAGATTAGAGTAGAAACTAACATAGCATTTGATGTATTATCTTGCATGTCCATACAAAAATATTTATAGGGCTTTCGTAAAGTTGCAACAAGTAGATGGGAGTTTTGCAACGACAGGTTCAGGAAAGGTGAAAGAGAATTGCTATGTGAGATTCGGAGAAGAAAAGCTTGGACAAATAAACAACAACAAAATGCACCAAACCAAACCACACCCCAAGATTCTGATGAAGATCAAAGGTCATCATCAACCTCATCATCTTCGGGTTACACTAATCTTGTGGATGAAAACAAACGTCTCAAGAAGGAGAATGGGATGTTGAATTCTGAGCTCACATGTATGAAAAGGAAGTGTAAGGAACTGCTTGATTTGGTTGCCAAATATTCACATGCAAAGGAAAAAGAAGAAGAAGAAGATGAAAGGCCAATGCTGTTTGGAGTGAGACTAGATGTTAATGGAGAAAGGGATATGAAGAGGAATAGACCTGAGATAAGTGAAAGCGCAAGCATGTTGCTTTCTCAGTCATGCAAATAGATCATGCTATATACCTACGTAGAAGCTTGGAAATATTAAGTATATAACATATAGCTAATGAAAAGTAATAATCAAATATTTGTAAATCATATTTGATTAATTAGCTAGCCTGCAAAGAGTTTTTCCTCAACGGGTTATAGTTACTTTTGGAGATCAAATTTGGTGTATCAAGGAATTAATTATAAACTGTGAAGATACCTCAAGCATGGTATTGTAATTATGCAATGTGATTTAGGACGTTGATACATGATTAATATAAGCTCAAAGTGGCCACTAATATTATTAATTGGTTCATTGTTGTGCAATGTGATAAAAGTAAACTGGTAGTGTGTAGTAGTTTATATGCCCATCACCATTTTTACAAGGCAGTTTCATAAAAGAAATTTTTTTTTGAAAAATGGATAGAAAAAAAAGTACTAAAATTTAAAGTCAAGATTTTATAAATCTTAATTTCTTTATATATAAGTGACGTTAGGGAAAACGTTGTTACACTTCTTTATTTAATTTTAAATATAATTTTGAAGTCATCTTTGTATATTGTCTAGTCATTTTCAAAACGGCATGCTATTCATACGGACTCAACCTACTTTCCCTTGTTTCTCATTCACAATGTGATTTTTTTTAAACAAACCGTTTGACCAAAGGGGAATGGATCAATGGAATGCTTCACTCGGACGAAAATGATTTTTGTAATACTTATTTACTTTATAAGAAGGTTGCTTTTTCTTTGTTTTGCTTGTGACCGAAGATAAAACAAAACTACGTCCAAACCAAAAAAAAAGGACAACATCTAAAGAAAACAGAATGAAATATGTTTCCAAAGAGCAAACAACGTTGCAATGCGAACTTTCAAAAGCAAATCACTTTTCCTCCCCTATGATGGCTGGATGTTAATAAGATACCACGTGAATCTTTTAAACAATGTAAAGAGCTTTAAAAGCAAGCTAAGTTAGTGAAGATGCTATATGATGAGGGTTAAACGCGCATTTTCAGAGGCCAACACGTCATGCACAAAGTCAAGATCCCAAACATGAATTGAATTGACCTTTCGAGTCAATTGACGCCAACACGTCTAAAATAATAGATAATCCAAAAGACAATTTGGCATGGCATCCATTATTTATTTAAAAATTTATTTTTTGGTAAACATGGCATCCATTATTTACTTTGGCATTTACAGCTTCAAATTTGTAATTTATAATATTAATAACTTAAAATAAATCTCTGTTATGGAGAGTTCAATCATTCAAGCTACATACCTTTGTCATTAAAATGATCAACTTAAGAATTAAGATACTAGTCACTTTCTTTTAGATAAACTAAGAATTTTTTAAAAAAAATTGAATAATCAAAATTAATATAAGATTCTGAACTCTACTGCATCGCAATTTTGAACACTACTGACAAAATTCTTTAGAGTATTTTTTTGAATAAAATAAAAGAGGAAGAACTACTGATTCATCTACAAATTAACAAGTTTGGGTTTGTATATTAAAGAATATACATTTCATTGTTTCACTAACCATGATTTTCGTTTTAGCCTCAAATTCAAAGGCAACTTAGTGATCATAATTGTCAGAACCGGACAGACCCACCGGTTGGATATGAAAAACCGGGAAGCGATCCCCTAATTATTCAAATAAACCATTAAAATTCATATTTCCAAAATCGGTAAAAAAAAGAAGAAGATGGGTCCTGAACTAGTCACGGTTAAATCAATCCTTTTTCTTTACCCAAAAAAAAAAAAAAAAAAAAATCCTTTTTTTTTAAAATAGATAAAACTTTTTTTTACTACATTGATTATTTGATTCCCAATTTATAATACAAACTCAAAGGATTTTTCTTCTTAATTTGTCTAATACAGGACAAATAAGAGCTTGTAATGCAATAAGAGTTTAATTATTATTTATATTTAGAAACCATCTTTACTTTTTACATATTCAATGTGGGAATCTATTTACAATTCAATGGCACTATGGTCATTGACTCCACAATATACATGGCCTTGGAATCTTGCCAAGTCCCTACATTTAATTCTACCTGTAGAAACTAAATGATGATATCATTTTGATACCTTCTATCCCGCATTTAATGAAAGAAAATGATGAAATGAGGGTATCTCATGAGTTAGCGGCAAAATGATTAAATATTGTTTCCAGAGTTGACTGGCTGATGCTGTACTCTGCAATCCCTAATCTTTTTCTGCAAATGATTTTGGTAGAATTTAGTCATTTTTTTAACAAGACCATGGAAAATAAAAAAGTGCTAATACTTTACCTGTTTCCTTCAAGAAGTCCAAAAACATCTGCCAGCGAAAAACCCTCATCATATGGTAACTGCAATAAACAAACAATGAATTACTATATGCACTATAAAATAATGCCCGGATACACTGCATGCATGCAAATGTTGTGAAAATTAACTGGGGACTATCAATGACAATATATGTCTTACATTACTTCTAAAAACTGTCAAGGACAATCTCTCCTATAAGGATAAGGAGTTAGGTAAAGAATCATTATATCTGCACACTCCCTCATACAAGAACTTGAGTTTGAAGTATGGATAATGCACAATTCATTTTACCTTGTATATTGAAATTCAACTTTATTTAGAAGAATATGGGCAGAGGGAATCAAAATCTTGACCAATTTAATGAGGCTTTGATACAATGATACCATGTCAATGACCAAATTTCCAAGCTTAAGCATTTCATTGAAGGCTCATGAATGATTTAATATCTCAACAAAAACCAAATTATTGTTATTAATTATGCCTTAGGTTTTTTTTTTTATTTTTTTTTTTATTTTTATTTTTTTAATATTCATTGCTAAAGAAATGGGGAGAAAATTAAGGAAAGTGGGATTTTCTCATCTGCATGGTGTTTGTTTCGTAGAAAATGTAACAAATTATTTAGAAGTGAGAGTGGTCTACTTCAAATTTAATGTTAAATTACAGAGACATGAGAATTTTTCAACCATAACGTGTTTTGAGTATTTTATTTTATCATGTATCTTTATTTCACTTTATTTTAATTTTATTATTCCTTTTAGTTGTTTATTGTGATCATATATATATATGAGGTAGGATCCTTTGACACCGGTGTCAAATTTAAAGTTTGACACCTCATCTGAGAGCCGTTAAATCAAAAAAGATCAACGGTATCACATGCTTACAAATCAGAGTCGTTGATCTTTTTTGATCTAACAGCTCTCAGATGAGGTGTCAAACTTCAAATTTGACACCGGTGTCAAAGGATCCTACCTCTATATATATATATATTGTCCTTTTTTCCTCTATCTTTTCATACTTTTCATTTACGTTCGTCTGCCACCAACACCAACTAGTTTGGGATAAAGACATTGTTGATGTTGAACGTGTTGAAGAATGTAAACTTAGATCATTCTCATCTTATGCATGTGCTAATGTGGAAGCAACATACAACAGTATGCTTCTGTCAATGTTTTGTTACAACAGAATGAGTTAAGAGTGTAGAAAGTGTTAGATACAGTAACATAAAACCGTTTACGTGTTTTCACTTGACATCTTAAACATTTTGAATACTCGTTTCATGATATGATATCAGAGCCTCTATGATCAACTGATCAAGAGTTCGATCCATATTGCCCGGTTATTCTAATAAAATGTTGAATTTAGCAAAGGTAGATGAGTACATAATAAAATGTAATAGGGTAACTCAAAAATACCTGGTATCTGATACTCAAACCATTGCAACCTTGGCATCTAGCTCCACGAAATGAAGAGAGAATAAATGAATCAATTTCAGAGAATTTTTGTTTGGACAACCACCATTCAGAAAATACTGGCAATGGAATACCACCTAGATTAACAACAGAGTAGAAAAGGAAAAATTAATAATAGTAGAGAATTTGTGCATTTGTTTTTACATAAAAAAGAGAACTATGTTATTGTCAGGGGCCAATTAGGAAGGGGGGAGGGGGGAGGTTCAGAAATGAATTAAGCATGAACGACTTACAAAAACCTTATACAGTATGAACTATGAACAAGATATTTAGTGTATCCAAAAAACTGACGGAAGTTTTTAAAACATCATGTGATTACAATTAATTTTTTAATTTAAAACACAAGGCATAAGTGGAATTTGTACAGCCTATCTAAATTATATACAGAATATTTTGCTGACACAGCACTGGGATTTGCCCTTTATATTTTGCTGACATATTATAACAGAAAGCGGAAAGTGGACCAGATAATATAAGAATACTCATTAAAAAATCTTTCCACGAAATTTTTAAAGAAGTCCATCTTGAGTATTTAACCGGTATTTTATAGTGAAGAATGCAAACAAAAGAATTAGTTGACACTTGACACCAATAGACAAGCATGTAAAGGGGTGCCGCTACAAAAGAAAAATCAGAAAATGCAGCTAGTAAACACAGGAAAAGAAAAAAAATACTTAAATGTTTAAATATTTTCCCTTTATAGTTTTGAAAATTAGAAACCAATATATTGCACTTTCACACTGATCACGCAGGAGGAAATCATATTATGCCCAACGATCAGAATCAAAATGGAAAAACAATCAAATAAAAAGAACAGCACCATAAACCCCAAGGGCTGACACAGTTGGTAAGCGGACTGATGTGATTGAAATATCGTTGGTTCGGTTCCTAGGTGAAGCAAATTAGGGCCATTGGTAAAAACCTTTACGCTCTATGCCACGAAAGGGATTAGTCTCATCCAAATGGATAGATCCACCCGTGGAAAAGCCAAAGTAAAAAAAAGAACAGCACCATTGCTCAAAGCAACAAAGCCTTCATTTTCTTCATTTTTTAACCTTTTTTTTATTTTATTTTCAGAGAAGATGTAAGAGAAACAAAGAGATACGAGAGAAAAGGATAAGATATCCTCCTTAAAGAAACCACAAAACATTCTCTGCTCTTTTGAATCAGTCAATATGTTGGCTGAATAGGAGGAGACCTTTGATATACCCTCACAAATGTAGGCTCCATTAAGCCTTATTATAGCCAAGCTCCCTTTCAAGAGACCAGCCCCCAACATAATCTTTTTCTTTAGTTTATTACAAGCAAAACAAACTAACTTCCGCCTAGCAAAAATATTTGTCATTTTCCTTCTTTTCTCTAAAATAAAATATCCTTTTCATAAAAAAAATAAAAAAGAAATGAGTAAATTACACATATCTCCCAAGGTTCATGAAATTTCAAAGACCTTCCTTGTTTCTGTTATTACACAGACCTACCTTTT